TATAAGGGACGAAAAGTGTGAGAGTCTCGTTCCCAGAGGCCGCGATCCTTTTGTACAGCGACGAGGATGGTAGATACTTCATATATGATTCCTATAGTGTACCGATTTGCCTCATCCGCTGGACAAAGGTAACGGAGGCTCTGGGGACGAGACTGAAAGTGTGAGAGTTTCAGATATGCTTAAGCGCAAGATTAGGTGTCATCGGTGGCCTCACGCCAGCACCCCGATAACCTGTATAGATCCTGAATCCAAAAATTTATCAAAGTCAAAACTACTATTTAACACAAAATTACCCATCCCACACAACTAGCACTTTTCAATTCCGATACGGCCTGATGGTTTACACGGAGCTCAAGGTTGATGGTTTTCTGATCCACATGAATTACCTGAGGATGCAATTCGTTAACTAAAACGCGTTTTTACATCCCTCAATAAATAATGTATACTTCTTAATGGAAATTGGAGTTCATATTACGTGTACCGGCAACAAATGGTTTTGTGATGACTGTATCAAATAATTAGATAATTGTCCGGTAGCCGATTAAGAGGTCATATTACCACTGTCCACATCAAAGAGTTCATCAACCCTCGAGAGGTTATTGTTCACTTTGTATTGACGCCAGAAAGAGGGGATACTCAAACACGCGTAAAAGGTCAGTAGTATCTTATTAAGCTGTTATGAAAGCGGAATATACAGATGTACCAACGTTTAATTCAGCCCGGAAAGTCATCACTGAAAATTCGAATTTTACAAAAAAAATTGCTGGATTCATTCCTTAATGGAATGGAGCCTTGAGGTTCGGTTTATATTCGTATTCGGTCAGGGCCACCCAACGATTGTTTTCTGTAAAATATATGTGTGAGGAAGCACATTTTGTCTGGAAATTTTTATAGCTTGAGAAAGGCTTAAGATGATTACCCTATTTCCCTTTCGTATTTGAAAAACACCAGAGTAACCAGAGTTAAGAGTAATTTTACCAGCGCGCATTGGATCTCTCATTGATCGTTTTCACTGAAACGCCTCTCATCCCTGGCCTGCCCATACAGTTTTCAGGCGAAAATTTGCCTAAGCAGTAAGCACCGTAGATATTAGAACGTCTCTTTCTTTTGCTAAGAACTAACATAGCCTGTTGTCGGAAAAAAATGTTGCTGAAATACGTGCTGCTTTTACTTTCCCTGTCTCCTTTAATACTGAACTTTCTGGTTTGCCCTGCATACGCGGCATTGTTGGACAAACCAGCTTGCAATCACTGGGGCCATGTTGCTCGCGTGACTTTCAAGAGTTCAATCATAGGAGAAAACAAGCAGCACTTAAAAAGATATCCAGAGGAATTGCTCAGTTCCGGACATGAAAAATTAAAATCTTAAAGCATTCACTGAACATCCCACCGGTTTTGTTTAGGATTGAGCAATGTGCAAATCAACAAAGCCTTGTTGTTAACAAGGGGGGAAATGATCTAATAAAGGTCCAGGTTAGGGGTCCAAGTGGGGGCGTGTTATAGATAGGAGGCGTTTAAAACAGAGAGGCGTTTATTCTCATAACTGTAACAAGCTCAACAAAGCAAATATGCTTTCGGCGAAAGTATCAAGAGAGTTTAAAATTGGCGGAATTCGAATATCCGCTCCATCAATTGATACGTCTAGGCCGTCTAGAAATCTATATCATTGCACTCTTACATATCCTAACATCGATATCAGACTGCTCGCTTAGGGTGATTGTGTTGCCATCATTAGTCTATCCTCAGTGACTCTAAACTTGACACTGAACAATGCAAGATGAAATAGGCAAATCCTTGTTTGTTAATTGAGGGAGAAAACTAAATGAATGAAAAGATTTTGCAATCCCTACTGAGCCTTTTGGAGTAATTCTCATAAAGGGCGTCAATTAGGGAGGGGCTTCTCATATTTTCACAGCGGAGGGGAGGCGTTTATTTATTTATTTTTGTTTACAGATTAGGTCGATTATCATGTAAGGTTTTTATCGTTGGCCTCCGGCTATCTCTCTCACTGTCAATGGTGATCGCGAGCACCCCGATAACCTATAAAGATGAAATCTGAAACATAACCATCGAGTAAATTCAAACAGGCGTCTCGATTTCTAAATCAAACCCGAAACTATTATATAACACAAAATTACCCATCACTATTCCAATACGGTCTGTTGGTTAACACAGAACTCAAGGTTGATGGTTTTCTGATCCACATGAATTCCCTGTGGATGCAATTCATTAACTAAAAAGCGTTTTTTCATGCCTCAATAAATAATGTATACTTCTTAATGGAAATTGGAGTTCATATTACGTGTACCTGCCACAAATGGTTTTGTGATGACTATATCAAATAATTAGATAATTACCTCAATCAGGAGCTGACCTCAATATAGCCGATTACGAAGTCATATTACCAGTGTCCACATTTAAGATTTCATCAACCCCCTAGAGATTATTGTTCACTTTGTATTGAAGCCAGAAAGCGGGAGGGGATACTCAAACACGCTTAAAGGTTAGTAGTATCTTACTGGTAATAGTTGGCACTACAGCTGCCCCCGCTCTGTATATTGTCGGTTAATAGTATTCTTGCTCGTTATGTAGCTGTTTGAAATAAGCCGATTCATAATGAAGATGTTCACACATAGTCCATACAACAGGTGAGATAAATCTGCGGGGGCAATTAAGCTGTTATGAGGGTGGAATATACAAATGTGCCAACGTTTTATTCAGTCCAGAAAGTCATCACTGGAAATTCGAATTTGGCCACCCGAATAAAATGTTTCGTTTCCCTTCGCCCCGTCTCTTGTGATGGTCGGTCGGTCGGGCAAAAGAAAAGAAAAAAGAATGAACACTTGAAGGGGTCTGCGTTCCAGAGAAGGCCGGGCTGCTAAGTAAGAAAGCCTGGCTACAAAGTCAACTCGAAAACGTGGTCTTTTCGACTATTAAATGTCTAAATGGCCTTTAAAAAACGTAGTATCGATGTTAATTAAAGACAAGGACATCACATCATACCAATTGTTGTTAATAAAACAAGATCGTGTGCTTGTAAATTAAAGTACCCTTTTGAAACTAGAGAAGTCCGAAAATCATTTGGTTTACTTTCGTTCCGTGGTGTGATAACTAATTAAAATTAACCACTGTAATATAACAAAAGCTCGTGATGTGTGTGCATTAGCTATTTGCCTATGGGTAAACGCTGGCTAAAGCTGGCGAGTCCACTTATTGTATCTTCTGAGGCCGTTTCTGAGGAAAAGTCCTTAAACTGTAGCTTAACATAACGATGCCTATATATGGCGAAATTTCGACAGTGGTCCCTGATTGTATGGTTGGTTCTCATTGTGACGTCTTTAGGATACGCCCATATATGACCCAATACAGAGATTCGTGGCAAATGATTCTTAATCACCCAAACTCCATACAGACACCGTCAACTTCACCACCATTTCACAGTTTTCAGTGGTAAAAGTAACTCCTGAATTTAAGCCGGAAGCAATGAGACCAGTTGTTGATTATCTGAAACAAATATTTTCTTTTTTCAGTGCATGACGTTTATTTAGTCAATTCTCCTCTTTATAAAGCAGAGGTGCCCAAAGACGGTTTCCTCCTAAATACATTGAGAACACTCTTTACGTGTCCAGATTACTATTAAGATCTATAGAACCAAGAGAGGATGAAGGGGCCTTTATCCTCTCTTGATAGAACTGAATGCATTCTAAGCGACGCTATGACGTTTGTACCTGTGCGGTCATCCTAGGGGAACTTGAGTCTTGTCGAAATTTCAAGGGCTTCAGTATACATTTTTTGATTCCTCCCTGACTCACCTTCACAGTTTTGAATGCGAAAATTTCAGGTTTCCTTTTTTGAACGAAAAAAAAAAGGCCTAACCTGGGCAGTAAAAAAAACAACAAAATTGTCATTGAAAATCGTAGGGAATTTATTAGAGGCTTCGAAAATTGTACATAAATGGAACGGTCATCTAGATTTTTTTTTTATAAGCGGTTTTCCGAACAAAAATGGTAAACAACAGATGCCGTACATGTACGACATTCTAACTGAATCTATTTTGGTGGCTCCTTAACTTTTAGCCATTAGTTACATATCATTCCATGTTTGTCATCTATTTACATTCGTATACTGTTTTTAAAACCCTTACAGTCTGCTTACGCCGGTTTACTTTTTCCTAATAATTTTGAAAACAAAATTCATTATCAGACTAAGGTTTTACTATAAGGTTTGTTTATAGTGGAAAGTGCACTTAGCTTATCCAGCTAGTTTACAGGCACTCCACTCAAATACTTAGAAACAAATAATTTAAACATAACATAACAGGATTAAAAACCCCACTGGCAGGAGGCAACTAGTTGGCTGTTTACAAGTGTGGCCAAGGATTTCAAATCCAGCAAGTGGTCAGAGCGGGACTCGAACCCAGGACCGCGGGATTGCGAATTTACGCGCTGACCACTCTTCGACATCGGCTTCAGTTTTAAATTCTTATAATTTTACTATCTTAAGATATATTCTATTCGAGAAACGTATGTGTTTCTAACCGAAATATATACATTTCGTATATTCATACGTAGTTTATGTTGCTTTTCCCTCTTGTCTTCACCGCGAGGGATCAATTTGTTGTCTTTTTCCTTTATTTTTCTCAACACGAGAAGCACGAGGACTTGCCGTTGTCTTGGTAAATGATCCTTTTCGGATCTTCCGTTTTTTTGGTAGTGAAGAATCCATATGATCTGAGATCGCAAATCCGTTTTTAGATTCTCCCAAATAGACGCAGAGTCATGTTCAGTGCCGGATCCAGGCCTTGAGATAAGGGTCAGTTCAGAAAAAAATTTATTCGGCCCTTCGAGGCCTCAGCTTGGTCTAAAAATAAGGTGGGGGTGGGGGGGGGGGGGGGGCTGTGGGTAAAAGGTAGGATCCGGTTGTTTTTTTAAAAAAAAAATTGAAAGAAAAAAATAGTCGCCCACTCTTTTGAACTCCAACCCGGTCTTNTAGAATTTTAAA